ATTCAATTGAATTATGGATAAAATTAAGTCTATTCTTTGTCGGATAAACTAGTATACACTTGCCGCACTTAAAATGAAATAAATACATATTTGAAGTTTGACAAAAGTGAGATGGAAAGTTTTAGCAGTCTAGTGTAGTCTAGGTATTACATTTGTCTGGTATTACGTTTGTTGTACGATACAGATTTTAAATTTATTGATTGGCTATAGAATAGAGAGATCCGACAACTTTTCTTTTTTGCAGCCAATCAATAGGCTTGAAATACTTTGTCGTACGACAAATGTAATATCTGCCTAGTGCAGCGACGAAGTGACCCTGATTCTACATTACCCTCCTATAGTACTGAGGATCTTCATTTAATTATAGAACTTATGCATTGTTTAACAGAAAGAGAGAAGTTTCATGGTATATATTATTTACTTTTTACCCATTTTGTTATATTGATTAGATGAACAAGACAGCATTGGGTTGGATCCAATCCCATTTTTCTGGATATCTTAAAAATTTATCTTATCATATAGGAAAGTTAATTGTAAGTTAATCGCGAGCTTCTTGTCGACAATCAATCTGAAGTGTTAATTTTTAGATTAATGTTTTAGAATGGCTATTGCAAAGCAAGCTTGCAATCGCCTTGCAACTAATGTAGAATCAGGAGGTTAATTGCGTCCTGAAATGAGATAAAAATTATAAAATAGTCCAATGAAATTATAAATTCTAGTGAATTTATTAACTTTTGTAATTTCCATCTAGTTTTAAGATACACAATCGACTTTTAGGATGAGATACGATTGAAAAACACAAGTAATAGGGAATAACAATTCCAGAAACCGTGTATATCAGAATACATGATTTTTGATAGATTTAAATGTTTTTTTTCCCTGTTCCCGTTGCCTATGTTTTTTAATTGTGTTTTAGGTCTTTTGCTTTTTTCGAAATAAGTTATAAATAAACGACATTATATATCTACTTACCTGTACCTACATGTGTTGATTTGTAGATACCAGCTACTACCACACGTATTTTGTTAAATCACTTTAAATGGGATAAAGAAAAATTGATGGAACGGTTTTACGACGGTGATCAGGAAAAGTTGTTTGCCGAGGCACGCGTCATTAATCCGTTTAGGAAGGGTCCTTTAATAAGCAGGAGCCGATCATCCCAAAGTTCGTTAGTAAACGTACGTGTATAGTTTATTTCAATTATATTTTGTTATCGATTAGTCACTGCAAAAATTATGCTTTACCTATGCTTGTAATACAGCCTAAAAGACCGACAAACGGAACGGAGGAATGTGGCATCTGCTTCATGATCTTGCCATCCTCAGTAAGTCTATTTTACCCATTGTTTAAAAAACAGTAGTAAAATAAAATATGCTTAAAAAAACATTATAAAAACCATTAGATGATGACTGGTCTGGAATGTGGACATCGTTTTTGTACCGGTTGTTGGGGTGAATACTTGACAACTAAGATCATGGAAGAAGGAGTTGGACAAACAATAGCATGTGCTGCTCACGCGTGTGACATTTTAGTCGACGACGCCAGTGTTATGCGACTTGTCAAAGATTCCAAAGTTAAATTAAAATATCAACATTTAATCACCAATAGCTTTGTTGAAGTAAATATTTGACGAATATAATTAAATTTATTGGATGTTATTAACGTTTCACACATCTCTTTTCTTTGCAGTGCAATAGGTTATTGAGATGGTGCCCTTCTCCCGATTGCAATAATGCCATTAAGGTGCAGTATGTAGAAGCGAGACCAGTTACTTGCAAATGTGGACATATCTTCTGTTTCCACTGTGGCGAAAACTGGCACGATCCTGTAAAGTGTCATTTACTCCGCAAGTGGATCAAAAAGTGCGATGATGATTCTGAAACATCAAACTGGATCGCTGCTAATACAAAGGAGTGCCCCAAGTGTAATGTTACTATCGAAAAAGATGGCGGATGTAATCATATGGTTTGCAAAAATCAAAATTGTAAAACTGAATTTTGTTGGGTATGTCTTGGACCTTGGGAACCGCATGGTTCTAGCTGGTATAATTGCAACCGTTACGATGAAGAGGAAGCTAAAGTAGCCAGGGATGCGCAAGAAAAATCCAGATCAGCTTTACAGAGATATTTATTTTATTGCAATAGATATATGAATCATATGCAATCACTAAAATTTGAAAGTAAATTGTACGCTAGTGTAAAAGAGAAGATGGAAGAAATGCAGCAACATAACATGTCGTGGATTGAGGTATAATAATAATAATATAATAATAAATAATTGATTTTAAGTTAGTTGAATTAAATTTATGTACCATTACTATGTATATATATTTTAGGGGTGCACCGGATATTCAGTATCCGATATCCAGTAATTTTATGATCCGGTGCATCCCTAATATATTATATATACAATAATAAGATTGGAAACACGACCGTTTATGTGAATATATCACCTAAACGCTATAATACGAGAAACGCTATTTGACGATCAAAGTTAGATATTAAACTAATACATATATGTATTCTTTAAATGAATTTATCTTAGAAATATGATTGCGCACCATTACTATTGAACTTTCAACATAATTCATCTGAAATATTATATTAATCCCCCCAAATTTAATTACATACATCTTAAAGAACTCATTACGAAAAATATTACGTCGGTCGGGAGTCGAATCCGGATCTCTAGCATTCCGTGCGAGCGTTTTAAGGGCCTCTTTCGCTAACTCCGATTAATGCTAATTGATGGTTAACTCAATCATCACGATTACCAACGTGATAACTAAACACAGTTTGTCTCAGAAGAGGAAGGGAGAGGAGACTTTTGGTACATTAAACTGCTGTTGGCACTTCTGCGAGTTGATCATAGATTAATTTAACCAAAAGTTGGTGAAAGGGGCCCTAAACCTTTAGATCACCGAGGCCTTAGCAATATTCTTTGCAATAATCAATATGTATAGAAAGTTATGCATTGAAAGTCGAGTGTGTATAAACAATAATATAAGAATAGAATAATATTTACATATACAGTGACTAATAAAAGTTTCTAATGACTAATTTTATCGTATTGCTTAGATAATAAATCTTTACAAATAAAGATTTAGTATATTAGTATTTTTGTAATGATATAGGGTGTTTTCTGTTTAGTGACACAAGTCGACAAATGTTGTTCTATCCATGATGCAGTTCTATCTTTCTTAGCATTTTATGAATATTAAAGACAGAACAATACCTATGTTGATTTGTATCGCCAAAGCTTACCATATTCTAATATTTAAAATATTGTATTCTTAAGTTGATTATAACAAGAATTATTTATTAAGAATTATAAACTAAAAAACATTAATAAAAATTATTAATAGTTATATGTTGATCGAAAACTTTTGGTAGCCGCTGTATATACATCACTATTTGTCAACATTATTTTGTAAATATATCAAATTACTCTCTTTTCAGGTACAATTTTTAAAAAAGGCAGTTGATATTTTGTGTTCCTGTAGACAGACTCTCATGTACACTTATGTTTTCGCATATTATGTGAAAAAGAACAATCAATCTGTGATTTTTGAGGATAACCAAAAGGATCTGGAGAGTGCCACAGAGTGCCTCTCTGAATATCTTGAAAGAGATATCACGAGCGAAAATCTTGCAGACATTAAACAAAAAGTTCAGGATAAATATAGGTAAAGATTATGCGTTATTCTTAAAAAAAAAAAGAGATATTTTGTTTGTATTCTTGTCAAAATAATATTACATTTGTGTGTGTGCTTTTAAAGATACTGCGATAGCCGAAGAAAAGTGCTTTTAGAACATGTCCACGAAGGGTATGAGAAAGAATGGTGGGATTACAAGGAATAGAGGATTCTTGCTAGTTTCATTTTTTGGGGTGATACGAGTCCTCTTCCTTCCCACCTCTGCCCCAACTGTGATAAACCAAGAAAGAGTTAACAAGAGACAAAAATGGAGCATGTCACAAAGTGATGAACGTGTTGTATGCACTTTATACATAATATGCTCTGTGGCACAACACCTATAATGTCATTTATGATTAATATTGAATTCAAATTATTAAAATTCAATCCGATCACAAACAAGTTGATTGGACAATATTTTGATTTGCGCTTGCTGTGTATTGTACATCATTGTAGATTCTTGATTCTTGATAAAAATATCCCATTGTTTTAGGAAATCTTAAGAAAAGTTATATTCATTAAGACAAACAATGTGTGTCATTATTCGCAATATACTTACATGTTGCGATGTAAATGTGACTTCGCTAAAAATTTACTATTTTATTTAGCATATTTTACTGATGTTAGGCGAATTGAAAGCTTTTGAATCCTGAAAACTTTTATTTTCTTCCTCCTTTAATATTTTAAGAATAACTGTTTAAAATAAGTTAGGTACAATTCAAATAAATTATCCCGACTGTTTTATTCTATTTTGGACCCCAATACGTCCAGGCTACAACTGCCAATGTTTAAAAACACTAAATTATCTATATGCATATCGTCAGTTCTACGTATTCATGTTTGATAGCTCTTCTCATTCTTGCTTGTGTACTATTTTCGTGAAAGATGTTTAAATACAGAATATGTTCCAATATCGTAAAGATGTAATTCTGCCTTTTTTCTGTATATAATTTTTTTTTACAAATAAATTATTTACAATATCAATTAATTATATTCATATTGACATTGTGCAGATTAAAGGGGGCCAAGTTTGTGATATCTTTCACATGTACCATATTCCATCTCTGCATGTAAAAGTAGAACACTACAATTATCGACTTGCAAGAAAATACTGTTACCGTTTTTTCTTCTTGTAAATTAATACTTTATATATATTGTAAATTTTTTATCTTGCATTATTGTGTCTCGATTTTTAATACTTTATACATATGCATATGTGATAATATAAGTATATAATTAAGAGAGATCTATATAAATTTTATTTAGTTATTTTCCAATTTAATTAGAAATTATATCATTATTATCGTGTTTTATATTGTTATTTTATTAGCTCAGTGTTCCTTTTTTATTTAATCTGATTGCTATCTACATGCATAATGCTGACGATATGTTTAGCTAACTAATTGAAGGTTGACTACAATAAGATAATTACTTATAATTGTCAATATAAGTGGCAGACGAAATGAGTTTTCCGTTTGTACAGTTAATATAGTATATATATATATATCCACACACAAATGCATAATACTTAAACATAGTAATATCAATAATAGCAAAATAGATATCTAATTTTGAAGATTTATTGAACCGAAATTGTTGATTCTTACTATTATGCACATTAAGATCTGAAGTAAAAGTTGAAATGCAGTTGTTTTCTGTACAGTCGCAAAATTTGACTAGATATAAGGAAATTGTTAGATATACTCGCCAGAATTTCCTCTCTAGTTTGTGATTTTATAATCTGTATTCATTCAATTCAGTAAACTACAACAGCGTATTAAAGAACTTTATCCTGTATAAAAAAATAAAACTCGTAAATGTTCAAAATTTCTTGTATATGACCCAAACTTGAACTTCTAGGCCAAGTCTTCGTATTCATGAAAAAAAATGTGTGGCATATATGAAATTAAAACGTTTAGCTGTCAAATTATCAGACATCCGAAAAAGCACCGTAAATAGACAATTGGATTTTAATTGGAGTAGATTACAAACTTGTATCAAGAATTTCATTATCCATTCGTATTTAGTATTTATGAGTATTTTAATGTGTGGCAAAACTTATACAATAATAAAATAAACTATTTTACTAGTAAAGTGTAATATATATAGAAAGACCGTGACTTTACTTTTGTAGCTATAAACCAATACGTACATTATCATGCATTATCATGTTTCTAAGATCCTTAGGGATAGATTTCTGATCATTGTTCGGTGTTGTCTTTTGTTAACATATATAATTATAAATATATAATATATATTGTAAATATTGCAATATATATACATACATCCATCCACATATATACATACATACATTGTAAATTTTAAGTGATTTAGATCTCAGTAGTGTCATGAGTATGAAAATATCTATGTATGAGATTTCAATGATGAAAATGATGGTTAATATATTTCCTTGGCAGAAATGTATCCTCCAATTTGGTTATAAAAAATAAAAAGAGGCAAGTTATTATCCCAGCATCCTACTATACAATATACTCATTGTGAAAAAAATTTATAGTTTAGATTGTTTTCGCATTTGCACATGTAAATCTCAAGCCGGAGTTCTAGTATACAACGTAATCTATTTTAAATAAGTATGTCATTTTAAATATAATTGTCCGCATGCAAATGTTGAATTGTTACTTATGTTCGATTATTTTGTTAATTTGTATCATTACAAGACATTCTACAGAAAATAATTACATTTCTTATTTCCAAGCTACACTTGTGTATAAGTGTTAAACATCAATGCCTTTTATTATTCCTCATTAATAAATGTTTTAAATTTTAAATTACATACATAATGATAAGTTAGGAGGATTGTATTCATTTCAGGAATGATCGTGTTATTTTACATAGTCAGCATTTTTGATTATTTGCAAACATACATCAAACGTCACTTATAGTATTTCATAGTGATTAAGATCGATCCCCTTTGTCATAATACACAACAGTATATTAAAACTTATCACTTATAATTTATGATACATTAAAAAGGCTCTAACGATGTGGACTCGATGTCTTCCAAGAAAACAAAAGTACTTACACCATGTAAATAAGTCTTTGTATTACTTTATGAGGGATTTTTATTTGTAGTAGTATAAATCGCTTCATAAAACTATATTTAAATTTTTATAACAGTAACTTGCTCTGTACCCTGTAAACTTCCATTGATAATACGATACTTGATAGTGTATGAGAAATTATTAATTTTATAGCAAACACGAATAATGCACACTTGTATGTGTTTTAATACTAATGGGATCGGAAGATAGAAAAATGACATTAAATCTTTTGTAGAGAATTGCGAGAGTTATTGATCGACAATTATTTTTGTAGTAGGCATTTTTAAATCTCTCTTGTTTCACAATAATGATTACAGGAGAACGATCGTTATTTTATAAAAGTATTTATTCTGAATATGCATATAAAATTTTTGCAAGTGTAATAGAATATATCAACATATAAAAAAGTAGCCATTATTTGAATATACATGATGGTATAGTTCGTAGCCATCGTTTTTTTTCAGTATTACATATATATCCCTTAAAATTTAAAAGTGTGTGGTGGCGATCGGTTCTGTGACCAAAAATACTCGAAAAATTTATTATTTAATATATTTTCTACCTAAAATAAATTATAAATAAATAGATTGCGTCTACCTAAATTCAATACAATTTCGAGATTCCTGTTTCTTGTTGCGTAAATTTCTAAAAAATTTTTTCAAAATTTTGAGTATTATTATTAGGAATTACTTTAATATATAAAATGTCTATTGTAGAATTAAATAAGATATTTTACTAATTTCACTAGTCTGTTATAAGGTATTGTAATAGGAAACTAGCGTCATTGTCTGTCGCTCATGCTATGTATGTTCGAGTTATATAAAAAGTAGGATGATTCTAAGCCCGAGTGACATTGATATGAAAATTATGTGTGTCAACGCGTTGATGTATCTCTTGTTAATTTTGCATATTTCTCGTATATAGACGTAGCAAACCCTCCGTTTGAATCGAATCGTTCCGATGTGAAATGTAACATTGCGCCTTCGTTATAAAAATCAGTTTACATTTCACTTGAAAGTGTTCTCATAGAACGTAAGTACGCGAAAGCTTCTTGACGACAAAACATACTCAGATCACACGATCCCGTAAGGTTCCATCAGGAAGTCACTGACAAGATCGTGGCGATCAAACCAAGAGTAGCTCCTGTCATTAGTAGACTCCGCCAAACTGCTCCACTAACTTCTTCGGCTACTGGATACTCAACACATAATTGTTCCTACAAAACGACAACGCCAGGTTTGTGTGACGAAATATTTGAAATACTCATCACAATAATTAATAATTGCGCTCACTTACCCATCCACCATAGCCTTTGATAAAGTGTGTTATATTTTCACCAACATATCTAGAGACGTATAAAGGCAATTTCTTTTTAAGACTGTGCATTCTTCTGTCCCTGGCCCATAAAGCCAATCTGCCCATAAAAGCATATAAACAGACAATTCTGGCCCATGTGATAACGCCGTGTAAGAACAGCTCATTGGCGACCCCCATGAATGTTTCATAAGCGGTATCCGGGACGACGTTTAAACGATTTACCATACTCGTAAAGAGAATGCTGTGTTTGTTGAGCATTTGATATACATTGTGTCTCATGCTGCGGGAGACTGGATCCTGGGATATAAGATAGATGTCCTCCTTCAACAAGTATCGCATCACATCATTGGCCAAGATTTCCGCAGTCGATTCTATGGAGTCATCGTGGATATTGTAACGTGGGGGTGGACTCAGTTGCGGGAACAAATATTGTAGTCGAATCTAAAAGGACAAATACAGTTTCGTAAATAATTATAGTTTAATTTTTGTTCTCTCGTAATTATCGCAAAACCTGCTGAATACAAACCGACAGTAATTTTACATCAATATTATAATTTCCACTTCACAACCTAGACAGTACGTAACATCCTATGAATATTCTGGGAATATTCGTAGAATGTAACATCTTTTAAATGTCTAGAAACATCTTTTGGTATGTGCTGTGTGGGAAGATAAATGTGATATAACACATGTTATACATAACAGTTACATTATTGAGTAGCAAATTATGACATTGATGTAATAATGTCACCGTCAGTTCGTGTTCAACGGGAAGTTACGTTTGTAAAACGTGAAATTAAGAGTCCGCTAAGTTTGTTTTCTACATTCGCGACTGTGATTTAAATAATCGTGGACGTTGACAATTAGACCGGCACGAGTCGGGCGATGAGCCGTTAGTCGTCGTTATTTACGATACCTGGCACATCTCGAAGAAAGACATAGCGCGGTTAGCAGCGCCGACCGCATATCGGCAGACACCGTCCTCGTTGTTAGCAGCGGCGGTGGCGGCGGGTCGCTCGTTCGACGAATTCCTGTTACCGGGGGGATCGCATTCCAGAATGCCGCCCACTCTGGAATGCAGTTCCCCTCGCGCTGACGTACCCTGCCCCTCCTCCCCACCCTCCACGCCGAGGATCTCATTGTTCGTCGTCGTCCCGTCGTCGCCGGCCATCCTCTTCTCGCGTACCGGACCGGAGCGAGGAACCATATCCACCAAGCGCCATTCCTCGCCTCCGTCGAGGTCGCTTCCGTTTCCCAACGACGTCTTCTCAAGTTTCCTCGGTGATGCGCCGCTCTCACATCTCATGTTGGTCTGCGAGATCGTCTGGTGCGCGTGAATCGATCGCGCGGCCCCGAACGAACAGCCGGATAAACGAGCGCGCACGGTGCTCCACCGAAAATTTGGACCACGATCGACCGATCCAACCCGGCCAATCAACCGACGGACCGACCAACCGAACCAGCAGCCTGCCAGCCAGCGACGAAACGCTCCGGCCTCTCCGCTCTCTACTTTCCCGCGGCCATTTCCGAAGCCGATGCCGAGAAGCCGAAACCGCGCCGCGCCGCGCCGCGCTGTTTCCTCCGCTCTTGCTCCGCGTCTCGCACCTAACTTCTACCGTACCGCTCCCTTGGCCTGCCTGCTTAGTGCTTGCCAGCCTGGCGATGCCGCCAACCAGCTCCGACCCACGAATGTTTCACATCACTACCACTACCGCTTATCTCGAGACTGTAGTCTGTACCCCACCGCGCAGCGTAATGCCGAGTACTGTATGACGTAGCTCAGCGTTTCTCAGCGTCGGTCATTCACAGGGCTTGTCGAGCGTAAGGTATCGTGCTCCGTTTGACGGTGCTTGACCCCTGATGTCTCTGACCTATACAGTACACTTTAACCGAGAAATATCCTGGAACGTGGGATATTCTGAGAATATCCTCGGGATGTAGGATGTCCCAGGAAAGTCCTTAGGACACAGAATGTCCTTGGGACATGGAATATCTTAGGAAAGTTTTTGGGACATAGGCTGTCCTAGGAAAGTTCTTACTGTCCTTAGAATGTAGAAAGTTCAAGGGACATTGGCTGTTCCAAGCAAGTCCTTGGGATGTAGAATTTCGGAGAATGTCCTTAAGACTAGGATGTGTCTTTAGGGTATTCCTTGGAGGTCTGTATACTGTATAGGAAGTTGAAAAACGTAGCGACAAAGGTTTTATATATTGGGAATAACTGAAAGATGTTAAACGGTCTACGATTCACGATTAGGTATATTAATCACACAATTCTTCTTTATATTATAATTATTGATTCCCGATACAAGTTTGATACAATCTCCAAAAAAAAAACCGTGTAAATCGAATAAACGTTTTAAGCGAATACAGACATCTATTAGTTCGCGAAAGGCGATTATTTTCTTCAGAAACTTTAAAAAAAATATTGCCCGCACTTAGCGACTCTTCTGATGCACTTCTTCTCTAAACATTAGCTTCGTCCCGGAGATAATACGACTGGTAACAATCCTTTCCCTTCAACTTCTCACAAATAGGTCGAATAAACGTTGTTAAATAAATGCAGAACTGTTAATAACGATTACGAAACTACAGAAGGCGGTTAGTTTCATTAGAAATTTTCAAAAATTTTAACATCCACACTCGATGATTCTTTTTCCCTTTTAATGGCACTCGTTATCCCTTCATCAGATTCGATTCAAATAATAGCCATATTATAGTTGAATGTATATACAGAGCCGGAAAAAATTTAAGATGAGCACAAAAGCCAATTTTTATTTCGTTAGAAACTTACGAAAATTGTTGGTCCACACTCGGCGAGTTCTTTGATGCAACTCAACTAAGCGCGGACGATTGAGAGCCCATGGCATGAGCGCAGAGCAGCGCCGGGCGATCGCCGACGCGACGGCACTCTCACAAACGCAGCATGCGCTACACCTTCGCACACCAGCGTAACGACTCTCTATGGATCATTCACGTTTCCGCCCCACCACCGTGCCGCTCCGACACGTGCACCGTGTGCATACACGCGCGGTGCCGCGCGCTCATGTGTCAGTGCGCCGCCCCGCCCCTCCTCTCGGTCCCTCCTTCACAGTTCACGGGGCGCTCGCCGATAACTTCAACCCTTTCTAGCGCGCGCGCGCGCGCTCACGAGTTCGCGCTCTCTCACGCACGTGCGTGCAGGAGAGCGAGCGGGCTTACCTGCGCGGTGTACCTGTGTTCGAATAGCGGAGGAATGGAATTTTCGATGGAACGCGGAGTTTATTCGATGCATCTCTCGGTGCGCGATTATTGCTTCGGTTCGAGATCTGAAGAGGATCTTGAGATAGCTCGAATGAACGGTGAGATTCTTAGCAGATTCTTTGTTACTCGAAACGAAATGTCGGAACACGATGCTAGGGACCACGTTCATGAACTACAGGCTTGGAGTATCGAGCGTCGCGACAAATCTCGCTTCGCTCCGAGTCACGGCTTGCGCAACCGTTGAGAAATTTGTATTCATTCAGCTTTTCCGCGCGGCCCTCTCTCCCTCTCGAATTCCTTAGAGGATTGCACGCGCGCGCGCGTGCACGCATACCTACTCGCGAGAGATGCATTATTTGCCGTAACGACGCGGAGAAACGGTGAAAGTCTCGGCCGCAGTTACCGTAGACCCTGCAAGTAACCGTAGACAAAATCGTTCACAATGAAGTTAGCTGAGAATTCTTTACTCGAATCGAATCGTAAGCCAAATCAATTATTTTTTATTCAAATATCGTTTGCAAATACGCGATTTTTGCATTTGAATTGATATTATCTGTGATTCATTTTCATATATTCTGCATACATAAACCTCCCTGAAGTCTGTATCAGGATAGCAAATTGAATATTAGAACTTGACTCAAATAATGTTAATTGTTTAATCCATTTTATTTTAATTGGTTAAATTCTAATTTTCAATTTTCAGTCTCCAATGTATGAGCTGGTATCCATAGTCGATTCTTACTTCAAGACTGTCTTAGATAACAGGAATGTCTTAGGATGCTCTATGCGGCTTTGTGATATCTTAAGACTGCATTTAAAATGATCTTAAATATGAGAACCCCGATATATACTATAAATACCGGTCTTAGATTGGTTTACAACATTTTAAGATTGTACTTAAGACAGTCTTAAATATAAGAACTGACTACCGACGATAGTTTGGTATAGACTTTACAGAAATTCAGTGTAATACTGGTTAATTTAATATTGAAAATTACAGACCGATATCCATAGTTAATTTTTATCGGAAAGGATTTACGCGGTTATGTTAAAGTATTAAAAAATTTAGAGATGCAGATCTGAAAATAATTTTGTTGGACCATTAAAATAATTATGTCAGACGCTCACACACAAACTATATGTCAGAATGTCAAAACTTTTTGCAGCATTGTTCATTATACGTTTGAGAGTTCTACGTGATTAGTTTGATAGTTCAACAAAATTATTTTCAGATCTCTAACTAGCTAAATTTTAGATACTTCAATAAAGATACTTCATTATTTCCGTGTATATTTAAGACCGTCTTAATCTTGAGATATCAATGAACAGAGCCATGTCAGCATCTTAAAACATTACTTACGGTCTTGAAATAAAAACGGATCTAAGAGTACCGAGCAATTAATTATATTTATTTTGAAAACTAAAAGCATCGTTGTACTGCGCTTTTCAGTATTAAATTTTTGTAAGAGCGCTGGATAATTCATAGAATACGCGACATATGCTCGTACATATCGCGGTACAATCGGACGATGTGGGCCATATTAGGTAAATGCGAGCGCGGACCAGCGGTGCATTTCCAGGAAAGGATTATACTGAAACTGGTCCGCGCGTTGTCAGCCGGTCGTCCGCGCCGGTCAGTGACGTAACCAGGTGAGCGTGCACCCGTGGCGGGGTTATCAATGAATCGGCAAAGATATGCACGAGACCAGGCATTCCGTTCTCGCACGGCGAGCTACTCTCGGCCAGTAAGTATACCTTTCTCGCTGTATCTTTTTCTACACAGTTACATCAAATGCGAAAGTTCCTGAGCTGCGGGCTTCGGAGCGCGGATACAGAATTCCATCGCATACGACTCGAAGGTGTCTGCGTATGGTTCTCTCACACGTCTATACATACGTGCGTGTGTATACTATGTATGTCGTATGGCAGCTCCTCTCTCGCGAAGTTTCCCCCCTAATTACGTCCCTGCCCGCCTCTCCTCGTACCGTGCCGCGCAGAGACCGTGCCCACCACTCCTTTCTGCGGTGCAACCTTCAAAGGCCACTGAATGCGTCCATGAATGAAGTAGGAAAGTTGCTGGAGTACAGATCGGCCGGATGTGTGCATACTTAGGTGGATAAAGAAAACGAGAGCCGTCGCCGCCGCGGCGCACTCTACGTCAGAGTACCACGCCGCTGTCGATCAAAACCTGTTTCAGATCGCTGCCGGTGATACGGGCTAATGTACCGTGTCCGCGATCATTTTCCGCCCCTTTACAGATATGGCTTAACTTTAGAACAGCTAAATGTTACACTCTTGTTATTCTATTTTAATTACGGTAACATGCAAGCTCGATTCTGGAACTTGAGACAAAGAGAGAGAGAGAGAGAGGGAAATTATTAAATTATCGCGATTAAATCGCAACACGATTTAGTCGCATCTATAAATTTTACGCAGGCATTGATGCTTCGATTCAAAGGAGTTTGGGTCATTCATCAGGGAATCCTCTGGGTGCACTTTACCGGTACGCGATCGCGGAGCGCCTTTCACATCGCGAAGTAAGATAGCGGCGCACCGAAGACGTTGAAATATCGCCACCGGACGCGAATAAATTGACGAATGAGTCATGAGTGTAAATGAGATTTGATAGGGCCAAATTATTTCCGTATGTCGCTTCTTCGAGCCTGGTGAATCAGGGCGGTGGGAGGGGTAGATAAATAGATAGATAAAGGCGTTTATTAATATATATATATATATATTCAACTCTCCAAGAACATGGAAGTAAAAAAGAATGAAACAAAAATACACAAAAATAATACAAAAAAATGGTAAGAATGGAGGAAGAGAGAAGACGCCGCGTGTGGATGGATGACGTACTCTCAATTAGGATTGTTACTTTTGACAATTTTGAAAATTCGAAGCTTCGAAAGAATTCGTTTTTTAATAAATTAACTCCAAACTTTCGAAGTTTAATGTCTTCAAAGCTTCGAAATTTTGAAAGATACGTTTAGGCGAATAGGGAAAAAATGAAAATATATTCGTAATACACTCTTAAGTTGTATCGCCAAAAATTGTAAGTTGAAACAAAAATATATATATTGAAACATTACATAAATTACAAGAGCATAAGTACCATCAAACATAAAAGAAAAAAATAGTACCTTGAAATCAGGAGTGCTCCACTGTGAAGAGAAAAAAATTTACGGTCACCCATCCAACTCAGACTCCTAAATTAGTGGTTTACCTATATATATGATCGTACCGGAACTGATGACATATACATAGTTCTATTGCTGTCGTTTTTTTTTTTTCGCTTGTTTAAGAATAGTCAAAATACTGACAGTATATTTGTAATGTTGAGGCGTACACGAAATATATGTACGAGAAGCATTGTATCCTGTATCTAAAAAAAAAAGTACCGCAAGTTCACCTTCAATCAAATCATTATATATTCATTATTACTTCGCGTGTTTCGTATCTCGTGCTAATATACTAAGAAAATACGTGTGATATAGAAAAAATATTTGCCATTATAAGTGTGTAACTCGAAATGTGTTTATTTAGAAATTAATCGAATTTGAAGATCGATACTACGCGATACAGGATTAAGAATTATATATATTCGTAAGTATATATTTTGTACAATTTTTAAATAAAAATATA